CAACGTGAAGCGCCTTCAAGAATATAATAAAAAGTATTATGACAGCAAAGTGACGGCTAATTCTGTTTATAGGGTTGGTGATTTGGTAATGATTCGTAATGTGGGGACGGTGGGAGAGAGCCAAAAGCTTAAGCCGAAGTACAAAGGTCCGTATGTGGTCAAGAAGGTGTTAGATCATAATCGGTACGTCATTACTGATATTGACAGATTTCAGGTGTCAAATCGTCCGTTCACTGGGATTTTTGATCCAACCACAATGAAACTTTACCAGAAATCCAGCTCGAGTTAGGGAATAGTTGATAATAAGAATCAATAATTTAGGTTTTTTTTTTTTAAATTGCAGGGAACATTTTAACCGACATTCTGAGCGATAAGGAGAAGAACATGATAACATATTTTTGTAACACTTCCTTCCTTCCTTTCTTAGAACAAAAAAAAAATGTCAATCACTAACCTCGTGCCACCGCGAGTAAACGGTCCACCCTATACTAACTTTAATTTTAAGTTTACTTTAATACTGTTATAGAAAAAAAAATTAAACGTCTATTGAGGACAATAGAATAGCCAGGATGGCCGAGCTGTAGGCCAAAATTAATAACCCCAAGACTACTTAGCATAGATCAACTACATTTTTTCCACAACGAATTAATGTACATCCCTACCACTATCTACGAAATGTGTAAACTGTGTAGATTTCGAACGAACTGACAAACTCTCCAAACTCAGACAATAAAACATTCCATACTTCCGCTTTGCAAAGTTCAGACGCGTTTTATTTCGTTTTTTACGTTGGTGACGGCAAACATTGAGAAACGTCTCAATTTTAAGGGCTACAGAAGTATATAGATTTTTTGGTTGTTTCATTATATTTTGGGAAGTTCTTGGAACTTCGTAGATGATTAGAGATCTTCATATCAGTTTCATTTATTTAAGGAAAATCGCAGGATATTTTAAGGAATACAGAGGAATTATGGGATATTTAAAGAATTTCATGAATTTTGCGGTGCTTCAGAAACAATGCGTGATCTTCAGGAAATTTTATAAATAAGATTAAAATTTCCGGAAAAATAGAAAAATTAATGAACTTCAGGAAAGATACAAAACCTCACGGAAGTCCAAATAAAACAAGGATTTTTATGCGAATTGTGGATGTTCAAAATCTTCCAGAGAACCACGCCGCTACCTGATGACATATGCTAGTCCTAGATCCTATTCCTCCATTTTAGATTTTAAGATAAAGATCGTCTAACACAATAAACTGAACGGTACGAATTGCCAGCACAAACAAACTGAAACTAAGCAGCACGTGGTTGATCAAAAACTGTAATTTATTTTTGTATTATATAACAATGTGAATGTGTTAGTAGGAAGGCAAACTGAAGACCAAAGGTAAAATCGGAATGCTGTATGAAGAAAATACGCTCCTCTTTGAATGAGGATAAATCAATAGAAGAATATTACAGAACAAGATGAAACCTATGGTGTTTTGTAGTTTGAAAGCGTATCTTTCGAATGGAAACTGTTTGGTTTGCCGGTTTTGGCCGGTTTTTATGGTGTGTCGACGTGAAAAATGCGTATTTTGACTATAATATTGTTTATAACTTTGACAGTTATGGTCAGAGAGGTAAAGTGTGTTCGGGTCAAATGTGTGTTTTGTAATTGCGAATAACTTTTTTTGAGCAAACCTTGTTGATAAAATCGCGTCCAAAAAAGTTATTTAAAAAAACTGTTTTGGGGGGGTCATTTAAAGAAAACGTTCGTTAACTCGTTATGCAATCGTTTTACGAAGTTAGTGTCTTCAGCAAAGTTGTTTCATTTGATTTGAGCAAGTTTGTAAAAGTTTTAAGTTTGCTCTGCCCTTCTAGGTGGATAGATCAGCAATATCTCAGCAACAAACGATAGCCCTTTGAAAACTCTGCAACTTTTCTGAAGACACCATCCTTCTAAATTGTCGTTTACATACCGAAAAATAAAAAACGCACGTTTTGGGGGGTTTTGAACCACTGTGCATCGGAGAGATAGTAAATTTCGCCAAAGCACTCGACGCGGATCTGGCTGAAATGGAAGCTGTTTATCGCATTGGTGAGGAAAGGGGAGTCTTCATGAAGTTCAAATCAGAGGAAGCGATGCTCCATGCTCTGACATTCAATTCGGAGGATTTAATCTTCCATTATGCGAATGGAACGACGGCAAAGGTACGCATGTCGCATGCTGGTGAATTCATTCAATATGTGCGTGTGTATGACTTGCCACCAGAGGTACCCGACAACGAGCTGGATAAAGTGCTGGGGAAATATGGGAAAATTAAACGCATCATCCGGGAGAAATTTCCAACTGACCTGTGTTTTGAGGTATATACAGGGATACGCGGTATATATATGGATGTGAAGAAGGAAATCCCCACGTCATTACATTTCTTCAATCGCAAAGGAAATCTTTTTTATGATGGCAACAAAGATAAATGTTTTCTGTGCAAAGCGGACGGACACCGGAAGCTTTCCTGTGCCAAGCGGAAGGCTCGGAAGGAACCGGAGAAGCAACTGAAGGAAAAAGGAAAGCAAAGTGAAAGAAAACAAAACAGCAGCAGTACGTATGCTGGTGTAGTGGTGGAAGGTGCGTCGTTTGTCATTAGCGATCAGGAAACGGACACGGGGTTGGAGATGTTGAATGAAGAAAACGAAATGGACGTGACGACCCCGACGACCGACGAGAGTAGCGGAGAGCATGCAACGGGAAACGATGTTCAGAAGCAGCAGCAGCGATCACGATTCGGGTTCAATGAAAATGAGGAACAAATTCGGGAAAGAAAGAAGTTGCGTGCACGGGAGAAGACCGCTTTGTCGCCGCTTCGATCGCCACCAAGAAAAATCATATGATAAAATATGTTTGTATATAGGGGAAATGTCTCTAATGTTGGCCTATGGACCTAAGATTGGGCCCATCGCTAAAAATCTGCTATTTATCAATTTTATCTAGATGAACGCGTTATTGGGACGTTACTAATGCATATTTTTGGTTGCTATTGAAAATTTAGTCGATTGCTGAATTTAGGTATGGGCCCAAATTAGGGACACTTAGGCCGACATTACCTGCATTTCCCCTATATATATATTTATTTTTTTGTATTTTGAGTACCAAAATTGGTATTCTATGTTACTCGGCTCCGCTAAGTTATTTTTATAACATTTGAGCCTGCCAAATAAACGAACTGAAAAAAAAAATGGATGGCAATTGATGTCCGTCGGTGATTGGCACTAGATTGCGGAACAGAGACCGACGTTAAATAAAGAAAAGAAGATAGTTTCCTGAGTAATACTTCAATGAAAACAACAATGAAAGCTTGTCACACAAATAGAAAAAGCACCGTTGGGCACTTTCTGAAATATTTGAATAGTATAATTCCTTTGCAAACCCAAATAAATATATCTGCGTAAAAATAAATAAGAGTGATTTGCGGAGAAACCCGCCAGTATCGCACACAAAGTCAGTGCCTATACGTAAGCGTACTACAACGCGGCTCTTAAACAAAGGAGTAACAAGTGTGATACTATCACTGCTGGACTAGATCTTTGCTTTTCTCATGCATGGTTTATCAGAGAGGGGAAGCTTAGTAATCCCCATTGCCTGCCCATGACGCCATTCTATCGCGGCATGAGCCAGCAACGCTGGCCATAAACCCACCGTCTCCAACACTCCGCTATGCAGCATGAAATTAAGCCCGCCCACCAACAGCAAGGTGCAAAAACTAGCCAAGGGAAGGGCAATTGGAAGATTTTAAATTTCTATATTAAACATTAATGAACTGCCCAGAGCGTAAAATTATTGACTGCTAAGGCTGAGTGTGAAAGCACTGCAGTATTCAATCCATTGCTCTGTGCAGACCGTTTGTACAAAACGTTAAAGGACGAAGCAATGAAAGAGCCAACGACAACATTCAGTCACTCACGAACAGGCGACTCACAACGCTTGCCTTCGCTCACACAGCATGTAATTGAGGCATTTTTCAATAGAAAATGTACGCTCAGACATTCAAAACAAGTATTGGGTACCATCACGGTAGAATAAACGTGCTGACTGAGTGCTCGGCTGTCAGTGACTCGTTTTAAACGAAATCAAGCAACGATGTGACTGATATGCGATTATGGGTAGTTTAATTACCTCTCAATCATTCAGACTATCACGAGGCCGTGAATAATGAGGCAGATGGCAGTTCATATTCATATGAAAATGACTCATTGAACCTGACTGTTTTGCGCACTGATCACCAATTTATTGGTAGATTTTAATTCAATTGATACCGCATAAATCTTTACATTCTGTAGTTTCAAGTGGCGCCAATAAGTTTGAAATTCGTCAATAAATGGCTGAGCAACGATTTTTCAAACATTGCAAGTTTGCCATGACACATTTTATCGGAAGCATCGTGTTCGGAGAGTTAACAGCATCCTAACCACTCGAACTTCGTTTTACACACCGGGAAAGTAGTTTTTCCACATTTCTCGGCCAAATTGCTGTAAGTGATCCTTCAGCACTGTGTTAGTTGTTCATGGTGGAATATCATGAAAGCGTACATTCACTGCTTCATCTTCCACGTATACAGGAATTTTAAATTCCTGCTTGTCGATCTTCATTCTACGCTGGAGATTACGACTGTTTCGCCGTCGTGATGTCAACCATTTCGACAAAAACGAGGTTCCGCACCGAAGTCTACCACCTAGGTATTTTCGCGATTGGCACCCATTGTGACTGATAATAGTATCCATGGGAGAACAAAAGTAACACGTCTTTCGCACTCTGTATTTGGCTGTCAACTGGATAGTTATTTCAAGCTTGAAATCTTTCAAATTGGCTCTCCAGATCTGTTAGCAGATCATTCCAAATTTTGAACCTCCCGATAATTGTACCCCGCCTGTCCTGGAGGTACATGAGACTTTATAAATGGAAAACGGGCTGGGAACCTCTGCCATACAAAACTCATCAAAGCGAATCATCCCACTAACCTTGATAAATCGTGGATTGTTCTCGTACGCGGTTCGCAGCACGATGTCCAGACACTGAATGGCCGACATCGGCTTGTCGAGAGTGCTACCATTATTCATATACGTTTTCAGACAGTTCATGTCCAGCACGGCGGCTTCCTTCATGGCAACGGTGAACTTACGATCGCGACCATCACTTCGAACCTTTATCTCCTGTTCGTAGTGGTCGGCTTTCAGGCGCCGTGCGGTATAGGCATTTTTGTTACCATCGAAGGCAAATCCATGATTCGGGAACAACTGCTTCGAGAACTCGGCAAAGGCCAAGCGTTGCCATTTGCGAGAAGCGGGCGGTTTGATGTCCACATCGTAGTGGTATGCAGTGGAAATGATGCGATCCAGCAGGAGTTGGATATAGTTGACCTCCACTTGGATCACTCTACCGCGGGTGCCGTGCGCGTTTGGACGCATCAGCACAGGCAACAGGCTGGACGAATGAATCTTTTGCTTGTCAATCTTGATGCGGTTGAAGTCATCCTCGATCCGTTCGAGTGCGGCGGCATGTGCGGGTGAGGATGAGTGTGACGAATGTGTTGGAGATGGATCATGTGTTTGAACTGGCTGCTGGGGTTGTTGCTGCTGGGGTTGTTGCTGCTGGGGTTGTTGCTGCTGGGGTTGTTGCTGCTGGGGTTGTTGCTGCTGGGGTTGTTGCTGCTGGCGCAGTTGCTGCTTTTGCCTGAGATAAAAACGTAACAGACAACCAAATTTAATGCAATTGCTTTAATTGAAAAGAGGATATGACGTATGTCATACTTGTAGGTCAGTTTCCCTTGCTCAGGTTGTTGCGGCTGGCCCTGTGGAACCTGTTGTTCGCCAGGTCCCGGTTGCGGCTGCTGTTGATTACGTAGTTGTTGTTTTTGCCTGAGATAAACGAAACAAGGTTGTTAAAAAAACAATCTCCATGTGGTCAAACAGTTTTTGGAAATTCTTGCGAAAAACTCTTTTTTTTTAAATACATGAAGTCCCAGATAAATTTATCTGATATATTACCGTTTAGTGGTGCGTTACTGTCATTTAGATCTACCATCGAAGCTTAGACCAAACTACTTCAAACTAGGGGAACAGGATTGTTTTGTAATCAAAGGAACACATCTTAGTCCTTTTTCTTGTTATGCCTTGTTGATAGTGTCCATGTCGGCTTTGTCCATCGAGAAGTAACAAGCTGCAAAGGCCGTGAAGTCCAACTTAATTCCTAATTCTTAAAAATATATCACGGAATATCTGACGCAGCGTTTCGCGTGCCAAGTGAAAATCAAATAAGGAAGCAACGTTAACGTCGAGTGTCTGTAGAATGTCTGCTACAAACAGGGCCCTTGTCGTATCTCTTCGATTCCATAAAGGATCAAGGTGAATTAACTGGCACCGACTTTCGTAGCTTGGAAGGCGATGAGGATCCCTCTAAGGCAATCGTCGAAGGGCACACCAGATGAATCGTCGTTGAATAGATTCTACTCTTTGTACACTGTTTTGGTAATTGGGATTCCATAGTATTCTAACACCGACCGGACGAGGGAGCAGTAAAGCGACTTCAAACAGTAGATGTCCGTGAAACTTTTAGCTATCCTGAAAATGAAGCCGAGCTTTCTGGATGCCTTGTCGATCACGTACGAGATATGCTAGCTGTATGTGAGTTGACAATCTAAGATGACTCCCAGATCCTTAATGTGATTCACACGATGTACGTCAACGCCTTCTAGGATATAGCTGAATGTGTGATTACTGAACATTTTGTTGGATTTACAACCATGCGGTTCAGTTGGCACCAATTAGCAAAAGCGTTGAGTTGCAGTTGGCGAAGGTGGCAGTCAGCGATGGCTCGGATTCGGAGATAGATTTTCATGTCGTCTGCGAACGACAGTTGTGGATAGTCGAGGACGAAATTGACGTCGTTGAAATACACAAGAAATATCAACGGGCCGAGGTGGCTACCTTGCGGAATACCCGAAGTGGCAGTCGTCGATTGCAACGTTCAACTGACGATCAGATAGAAAGGATGCGAACCATCGTAGGAGACTGCCGTTTATGCTGAGCCTATCCAGTTTGGCGATCGCTATAGGATGGTTCAACTTGTCGAAGGCGGCTGATAGGTCAGTGTAGATGACATCTGTTTGCATATGGTCTGTCATACTCTCCGTAATGTACGAGGTGAGACACAGAAGGTTGGAAGTAATCGACCGCCCTGCCATGAAACCATGCTGGTCTTCGCTCAAGTGCTGCTTGAAGTGAGACTAATGATTCCATAACGACCAACTCGAACAGTTTAGATATGGAACACAACGATGTGATGCCGCGATATTTGTTTTTGCATCCCTTCTTATGCACTGGAAACGTTTCAGCTGATTTCCAGCAGGAAGGAAACACCCCACTGAAGAGGGACATTTCGAACAGGCTATCGATGTTTTGCTTGAGAAAGACGAAAGGAGCTCCGTCAAGTCCAGGCTTAAATAAAGACTTCAGTTGCGAAGCCGCCCTAGTTATCATAGCGAGGTCGATGTTGATAGCTGCCAAAGATTGACCAGACATTGGAACATTACTGGCTGCTAGAGAAACGTGCTCGTCAGGTAGGTTCTCATCCGAGAATACACTCGCCAACTTAGTTGAGAACAGACGGCAAATGTCCTGAGGGGATGAAGCTTTTCGCCGTTCAGTACCATAGTCGATGGAAGGCCAGACTCCTTTCATTGCTTATTCACATAATTCCAAAAAGTTTTCTGGTGAGATCGAAGCTTCCGTTGAACATCTTGTTGATAACGCCGATAACATTGGCGGCTGGTTCGTTGATACGCATGATTGATCCTCGCATAATGGTCCTTGAGTTGTAGGGTGTGATTCTTAGTGTATTTTCTTAGCGGGGCTCTTTTGGAAGACTTTAACATACGGAGTTCACTTGTTTGCCAAGGATGATGATTACCTTGTTTAGGAACTTTTTTCGGAACGTGTCGCTCAATGACGTAAGCCAAAATATGCGAGACCGTTTGGGCAGCTGCATTAACATCGGCAGGGACGAGTATCCTGTGCCAGTCCAAATTCGAAAGAAGTTCCCCGATACTGTCGTGGTCAGCATTTCGGAAATCGTAGGAGACCTCTAGGGGGGTGGAATTACCTCAGGAGTTTGGATGCCTTCAAGTGAAATAACTAAAGGATGATGGTGTGGAACAGTCTTTATCAGCGGAGAAACAGCCATAGACAAATGCGGAGCAGTATCCTGAGCGGTGACGAAGCAAAGGTCTAAGCTACGATTGATCTAATTAACCACGTGGTTGATTTGCTTCAGAGTGGAGATACTGTAATGATCCAAAAGGTTTACAGTCCCAGAGTGAAATGTAGAACGGTCGTGGTCTGGATACAGGAATCCACCGTAAGATGATCGCCCAGAAACTGCCGATAGATTGATAGACCGATAGATCGCCAATGATTATCATCTCGTCAGCAGCTGTAGCGATCTCCATTATAGCTCGAATAGACTTACTGTGGGATTCAATTAACGTAGAGTCGCGAGTTCGATCCGGAGGAAAGTAAACTACACACAAAAACAAAGTGCGGTCAGCGAGCTTACTGGCAATCCAAACTTGTTCCACACAATTCCATGAATCGTTTTCGATAACTTTGCCTTCAATCCAGAGCCGACCGCCATGAGAACGCCTCCACCAGTAGATTTGCAGCTGTTGTACGGATTCCGATCGCATCGAAAAACCTCGTATTCGGAACCAAACACTTGATTTGACAATGTGCGAGTGTCGAGCCAAGTCTCAGTGAGAGCGATGACGTCGAAGCAACGATCCGAAACCACTAAGCGATCAATTAGGTAGTTATTTTTCATCTACGTGATTCTTTTATTCGCTGTTCTCTAGTTTGACTAGGATTCTGATGCATCGTCATTATCGGTGTTATTGCTTGATTTTGTTTTCGACCGACAAAGGAGTGCGCCTTTGGAAGGTGTTTCAACACTTCGAAGGGTAAATATAAAGAGCGGGACCTTTCAATTAGACTCGGATCCTTGCGATAAAGGCAAGAATGACAACTGTATCAAAACCGAATACTTCATCATTTCTTAATAGTGATGGAAACTACAATGGAAGGACATGAGGTATACCACAATAGATCAAATAGGTCGCAGTGGATTTACTGCCCATAATCGCATATCAGTCCCATATGGATATGAAATCAAGCAAAGATGGGACTGATATGCGATTATGGGTAGTTTATGTCTCGAACAGAGGAAAAAAAGTGTACAGTGATAGCTCGCGCATTGCTTTAATTTAAAAGAGAATATGATGTATGTCATACTTGTAGGTCAGTTTTCCTTGCTCAGGTTGTTGTGTCTGGCCCGGTGGAACCTGTTGTTCGCCAGGTCCCGAAGATGGTTGCGGCTGCTCTTGCTGCTGCTGTTGAAGGCGTAGTTGTTGTTTTTGCCTGGGATAAATGAAAAGGGTAGTAAGTAGTTGAAAAATAATGTATCCATGTGCAGTGCGTCAAACAGTTTCTAGAAATCATTGTTAAGTTGTTAACTCGAAAACCCCTTTTTTAATACATGAAGTCCCAGATAAATTTAGTTTAGAAGTATAGCTTGCGCATATAATAAATGTGAAATTTGGTCGGTAATATTCGGTTCAAGATAATTTTCTTGCACAATCTTGATTTGAGGGCATACGGTTGTGAGAAAAAGTGGCTAGAAGAAAAATAACCCCTCCATCAGTGAGCTTACCAGTGCTGCAAAATATCTCAAATCATAGGATCTCAGAGGTTCATATTTATTGATAAACATTATAGAGCGGATGACGTGAAGCCAACTGGCACAACAAACCACGACCGTTCTATACAAGCTTCAATAAAACTTTAAAAAAGTAGAAGGGTCTGTGCCTAGAGGCACGAACGGAAGCTTGAAGAAGGACCGCTAGTGGACGGAACAAATGTGAACATTTAGTTCTTTTAATTGATCAATTATCAATTATCTTAACTCTTTCCGTTTTTTAATTTGTAAGCGTATCAAATTTGTAGTATTTATTTCAAAGAGAAAGTTGATGAAGAGAATCCAAGGGACTGTCAACTTGAGTATTTTCGATTCATCTACCCGACTTTAAAAGGTGTATTATGATTTTTTTGTTATTTATGAATTTTTAAGTTTTGTGCATTTTGGTATTAAAGTGCATTCAATTCACCCCTCACAGGATTTCCTTCCGAATTATATGAATGGGGCGGGGCGGAAAGTATCGTTTGTGCAGAATATGTAAAAAAGGAGGTACTTCGAGAGATTGAACTCGTGAGAGCTAATTTTCTCACAAATTTGATTTTATTGGCTTTCTGGGGACTGAATATACACCCAAGGCGAATTATTCCCACTTCTCTCAAATTCTATATGGATTTTTAATACTTCCTACCAGCGTGTTCTGGAAAATGGTCGGACGATGATTAATCTCACCAATACATTCGGGCCTACAATTCCACACCTTCTATAGAGACCAGGTTGAGCCTTGATAGCTAGCTGCTTGCGGGAACTGATGACCTTGACAAATGTCCAAATAATACTCTTAACAAATTTATGGTGGTCCTGTGAAAAGGACCGTTTTGTAGTGATGGTTGAGTAATGCTGAGCTGAGCACGACGAGCTACTGATTCCGATCCTAGCCTAGCAGTGGGACTTCTTCCTCCTTCTCTATGGTTGCTCATATGAGCTCTGCAGCTCGCTACTTGCAGGCAGCCTTTCGTTGTTGTTGAAAGCACTCCTGCTGCTGTTGGATTGGACACCACCACTTACGGTGATTGAATGAGCACCGTTCAGTGGGACCGCATCGAATTCGCTGTTTTCAGACATTCGGTGATAATTTTGATCACCATTGCAACAGTTGGACATTTGGTATTTTTCAATAGTGACCTATTGAAAATTAACTAAGTGTTCATTTTAGCAGATTGGTAGATAAATTTCCAATCGTTTGGCTTGTCTAGCAGGCTTGCAATTGCTCATTACAGCTAAAATGCTATTTTTCGTAATTATGAAACAATGAGATAATAAAATGATAATTTTTATTCTTAAGATGCAAGAAGAGGTGGTGAAGTTTGTGTATGACATATAAAATTTATCAATTTTGCTTTCAGAAGGTCTCAACGAGCGATTTTATGATCGCTGATTGCTCGCTCATCGTTACAGCTAATCGCTAGTTGTGACCTTCTGAAAGCAAAATTGGCAAATTTTATATGTCATACACAAACTTTACCACCTCCTCATCCATCTTACAAATAAAAATTATCATTATAGTATCTCATTGTTTCATAATTACGAAAAATAGCATTTTAGCTGTAATGAGCAATTGCAAGCCTGTTGTTTAGAATTAAAATCTATCTCTTTTCGTAATGCTGTGCATTTTGGTTTTTTGAAATTGCGTGGATTCTATAGATCCTGTGGAGATCTATCTAGCCCTGATGTATGTGTTGGTAAAGGAAAAAAAGGAAACTTTGCGGGAGACGATGTCTTAAAACTCGAAAGCAATTTTGTGAAATATGAAGTAAAACAAATCCTAGCTAGTTCTGCATGATGATTTTGTTTGATTTTATTTGTTTGTGAAGTCGCCGGGAAATAGCTCGCTGCTTGCAGGCAGCCTTTCGTTGTTACTGGAGAGCAATTTTCAACGCCACACGCCGAAAGCACTGCTACTGCTGCTACTAATTTCGACGACCGAACACCACCACACAGTGGTGTGGTCGTTGGGAGCGTGTGGTTCTGAGTATGGCGATGAGTGTGCAAAATATTACGGAATTCCATCCTCCCTATTCGCACGCGCCCGAGGATCGGAGGCGAATGCCACTTCGACTTGTTTCGTCTACTTACTACTCTCTGACGACTGTGCTGGGGAAGCAGCATATGCATGTAGGTAATTGGTGGATTTGTTAGTTAATTCGACGCTTTTGGACAATGCTGGACATTTACCAGTTTTTCAATAGTCTCTTGTTGAAAATCAACATTCGGAAGTATTGTTTTCGATGCGTAGCCATATTTCTGATGGATTGGTGATAAAATTATTGAAATTGGACCAGGGGCAGCTGAGTTATTAACGTTCAAAATCTTTCTTAATTTGTTACATGTTCCAGTTTTGGTTTTCACAAGGTGTACCCCCATATAGAAATCAAAGACGGAGTCCTACGTCAAAATGCAATGTACGTCGTCATTTGGCGATATTGACAAAACAGCATTCGTCACTCACTCAAACTAAAGATTATCTTCAAGGGAAATCATTTCAACTAGCAGTGACGAACATGTGCAGTTTTTGTTATCATTTAAATTTGTAACGGAACTAAATTAATTAAGCAAAATAAATCCATGCAGTTGTCAAAGCGTACTAGTATCTACGTTGGTAACAGCCAAGATAACTAATTGGCATTATTAACAATTCGTTCGCTGCATACAGCGTAAATATTTACGATTTTTTGACAAAAATCAGTTAATCAAGGCAGATCCCGACGAAGTAGGTCTCTTTTTCTCATGCACGTTGTTTTCAAAAATCAAAATGTCATGATTACCTGTGATTTGTCAATCATGTAAATATTTACACGTTGTGTATTGAAGAATTGCGCAAGGTGACTACATATACTATACCACCGCTCTTCGCATGTCCGTCCCATAGCGAAAATCGGCAGGCCGAGAAAATCGCGTTTTAAGTTTGCTTCGTACCATTGATTCTTATGTGATGGGACAACCAATGTGACTGTCTTTCCAAACGTTTTCAGAACAAAGTTGATGAGTTCTTCTTCTTCTTTCCTTTATTTAACGTCGGTCTCTGTTCCGCAATCTAGTGCCAATCACCGACGGACATCGATTGCCATTCATTGACGGCAATCGAATGTGCAGGAAGGCAGCTTCCACACCTGCGTGGGATATCGCACCCATTCAACATACATGGGCCGGGACCAACGGCTTTACCAACCGGTGAACACTCGTGTTTATTTCAGTTACCATGGAGACGTAATTTGTGATTAGCCCCGGTCCCTTTCAAATTGTATCATTATTTATGAACGGCCTTATATTTGAAATGACGTTTCACATTCATCTAGTGATGGCCGATTTTCATTCGAATAATCGTTTAATCGATTAACGAACCGAAAAGTAAACTATTAATTATAAATTCATGATCATGTCGATATATGCATTAACATCTCCACAGGATCATCACCGATCGTTTCAAACATGTGCTGCACTCTCTCTGGTGGAAAAATGGCAGCACAGCGAACAAAAAATAATCGATTAGTTGTTAATCGAGTAATTAAAAAATGGGACATTTCTGATTTTGGTGTGATTGTTTTGATAAAAATGAGCGCAAAATTTCATCTCTTCCGAGGGGGCAGCAAAATCACAAAATTAACTTGAATACGGGGGGTTCTCAGGGTGACCAGAGATTTTTATGCCTCAGAAAAATCCCACCGACCTCGGTTGGGATTGAACCCAGACCCATTGGGGTGTTAGAAAGCAGTCACGCTTACCACTACACCACCGGCGCCGGCTGCAAAGTTGATGAGTTCATCCAGTAATATGAAAATATGGGTAATTAGCAACCATTTGCATTGAAAAACTCAGTTTTGACAAAAAACGACTATGGGACCGTCACGCGAAGAGCGGCAGTATATACATTATATGTATATACATATACATATACTGTATATACCCACCATGGAATTGCGTTTCTTTTGACAGATCCAGAGAACTTCGAGATTAGGGCGTAATTCGTTTTGTAAAAACCTCGTCAATCGCCGATTTCTCGCGAATAAAAGCTCAATCTCGAAAACTAATGGCACAATCAGGTATATGATGGATTCCTCTATCATTTGGTATAGTTTGTTCGCGATATTGAGTTTTTATTTACTAGAAATCGGCGATCAACGTGTTTGTGCAGAGATGAACCAGCCGATGGCTGAAAGTCTCTTTAATAAAGAAAGATAAGATACGATAAGACGTGTTTGTTTACAAATGCTTCTTCTTCTTCTTCTTGTTCGCAATTCAAGCTTATTGCTTAGCGCATATTAGCTTATTGCGTGCTCTCAACTTAGTATTCTAAATGCTCTTCCACAGTTATTAATTGAGAGCTTTCGATGCCAATACCAATCCATGAATTTGTATATTGTGTGGCAAGCACAATGATACTCTATGCCCAGGGAAGTTGAGAAAATTTCCAACCCGAAAGATTCTCTCGACCGGACTGGGAATCGAACCCGCCGCCTCCGGCTTGGTAATACCGTGCCTTTACTGACTAGGCTATGAGGCCCCTGTACAAATGCAATTACGCTCAAATCTCAAAGTTCTCCGGAGATACGTGTATTTCGTCTACTTCTTGATAGGGTGGCCAGACCTACCGATTTACCGGTAGTCCTACCGATTTTCGGGATGCCTACCGATTCACAGACGAACGGTTAAAAACTACCGATTTTTC